TCCTCAGCAAAGATCAAGGACATGCAAACATTACAAGCAATTGGGTCAATGCCTAATTCCAAGCATGTTACGGCTGCTTGCAAGCTAGCACGAGGAGGATACCTTCAGCAGAAACAACTAGGTAAGCCCCCGAGTCAGCAAATGGGCAAAGTGGCTATCCACGAAGGATAAGCACGACGTGAAACCAGCACGACATAAAACCAGTCTTGAGCGTCACCCTGAGCCTTTTTGACAAAGGAACCTGGCAGAAACCTTAAGTCCCAGGGTGGGCCTGGCTCCACGACGCAGCACGCACTGGACTCCAGCAGTGGGAGGCTGGCACCTGGAGTGCAGGGGAACAGGCTACGATGCCCTTGAGAACTCTCGTGAAATCTCTATCAAAGGTCAAAGGATTGAGGGTTCGAGGTCCTTGGCTGGTGGAAGACCTCGACACGGCTGCCAAAGCAGGTCAGGGCCGGGATGAGAGGACTTTGGAAGTTTAGATCGCTGTCGGCTTCTTTTACTGGCCAAACACGAACTTGTGTCTTCCGCGGGTCCGTCATGCCCATCAATGAAAGACAAGAAATTGTGCCTTGCTTCCAACTGAGAACCGCCTGTACTTTCTAGATCAACAACGCATTCCTATTGCAAGTTCATTGCCTAGCTGCGTGGAAAGCAAAACGTTGGGCTCCTCATGCGCAGAATCTGAGCATGCGGGAGGGGGAGTACCCGCCTGCACTGGAATCTCAAAAGGTGGCGGCTACTTGCGTACGAGCTGAGGACAATGCTTGCACAAGATTCATGTATATGTGGCGCCTGCACCGCTTGCACGGCCTGCACCGCCCGCACCGGTGAGCAAATGCGGGGAGCACCTCACATGTTGTAAAGTCAGATTCCTACAGACCTCACCCTTTAAACGACTTACAACTTGTGTGCCATCCCTTTTGGCCTCATGTTGCGTCTCGGCGGGAGTGTCAGAGGACCCACCGCATACTGACCCTGCGTTCATTAGTATGACCCGTTACCCCTTCTATCGTAAGCATCCACATTGTGAGTCCTATTCTTGCTCTCGAAGCTGCCTTTTGATGTGCCAAGTGACTTGCGTGGAACCCATGGTCCAGGCAGTCATACGTGTCAGGGCTCCTGCAGGGTTTCGTCACTTGCGTAGCACAAGACGGTTTAAGCTTCAGGGTTTAGGGCTTAACTAGTCCAAGGCCCAAATTTGTTGGCTCTCCCTCAAGTGTCCCATTTCTGGACGTCAGCAGTACAGCTGAAGCGACTGGGCTGCTACGCATTTGCAAGTTGGATTCCCTGCCCTTGGGAGTCACAGGTCAATGGGCCAATTTTCCCCACAGCAAGTTTGACCTGAAAGCCTTGGCCTACACAGAGATTTCCTGTAGCACGTTAAGCTGTGGCCCCGAATCTTAAGCCGAGGCGGAAGTTGCTTATGAATTGCACGCCTCCAGCTGCTGTGGCTCTTCACCGCGTCCAGCCCAGTTCCTGGAACTGCTGCGGTTCGGAAAGCCGACGCCTGGCAACTAGGCAGGGGGCAAAACACGACGGCACTAGCGAACCATCTGGCAAGCAGAAGCATCACCAAACAATGATCGCACTACGAAGAAGGAGGGTGATGCTGCCGGTGATTATGGAGATGCAAATAATACTAGTAATGATGATGATGATGATCATGATGATCATGAGCCGATGACAGGTGCCAATAACAAGGAGAGGGAGGACCGGCCAATTGCACTCTTGCAAGGATCTCAAACACTGTGTCCAGCCTGAGGCCCGGCGTATGGCGCATAGCCCATGGCTCTTTGGCTCGAGGCTCTGCGGTCACAAGGAATTGTGTAGCTGATGGGCGAGACTTTGGTGGCTGTTTTTGGGATGCTTGGGGTGAAGGCTAGCAAAGTTTTTCGTCTGAAGTGGATGAGGCCTATGGTTGGCTGGCGCCCGAGTTTAAGAGGTTGCCACCCTAAAGGCTTTGGGCTGGAGATGGCCCCTGCATGCAGGACACGTGCCTAGAGAGGCTCTGCCGAAGCCGCGCTATTCAATTGTCCATGGCGAATGGAAGTAGATGCTAGTTTTCGACCTGGTTGATGGGCTCAACTTCGCAAAGGAGATGTAAAATGTAAAGACAGCGCAAGCTTTGTCTTGATCCACGTGTCGGTGGCTGCGAAACAAATTTCAGCGACCACTCGTATGCCAGGCACAGACAATCCCCAAAACAAAATCTCGCCGTTACAGTTGCACATCGCTGACCAGCTCCATTTCCAGGCTTTTGCACGTTTGGAAAGCATGTTGACATACAGGCCTTCACGATTTCACGATTACCGCGCTAGCATTGCATCTGTGGCGGATGTTGAAGCTGAAGGAAGGGCACATTTGCAGGTCATCTGAAGAGCAGAAATCCTGTTGGCAAGTCAGACAGAGATGTTGACATTTTGTCCCAATCCTCCAGGTAAGCTGCGTGCCAGAATCAGCGGCGGCGACCAAGCTTGGCACTGTAGCTCGCATGACACCGGCGTTCCAAGTTAGTCTGCAAGCTTTGTCGCAGGTTCTCCCTGGCCATAGCCATAGCCCAGCTGACCAGACAACCAAGGCTTGTCATACGTCAGAGAAAGCCTCCACCCCACAGGCTCTTCTCTACCGGCATGTCAGCAGCCACCGATGCCATTACGGCACAAATCCAAGTTGTCGCGGCTCTTGACAGCTTTGCAAGGCTACCTTCCTCGGACTCTGACGTAGCCTCTTGCACGCAAAGCTGGAAGTCGCTCGCGTCGCCTCAAGTGACCTGACTTATCTCCCAGGAAAGAGGTGAGTATCGATGAATAGCCCTCAGAATAGGTGAGTCTCAAGGTCAGAACTCTTGGGCCTGAGGCTGGCTCTCACTATGCTCTCACTTATCAGGCGGAACCTCTCAAAACCTTGAAAGCATTGAATTCCTCTCTGAACACAGATAGGTCAGATAGGTGTGAATGCTAGCCTTCAAGACAGGCCCAGCAAACTAATCCGCAGGGGAGGGTTCGCGGATGTTCGCGGTTCAGGCATTCCACCTCAGCAGAGTGTAGAGGGTTTGCAAGAATTCAGCGCAGCGCACCCTCACCCCCCCCTGTTAGGCGATCAGCTCAGCAGCACTACTTGCATCTCCTTGCTTCGGAGTGGCCTGTATCGTCAACCGGCCGATGCCAAGTCTTGCAAATGGTCCAACACCTCTGCAGCACCAATTCATTCTTGCCAGACTTTGTGAGTAGGGACTATGCTCTCTCTCATTATCCACCTGCATGAAGTCTGCACCCGTTGAGGTTTTGTGGACCTACACTCGAAGGTTAGAACCTTCCGCCAGCGCAAATAGGCACTTACTTCACGGCCCGGTGTCGTATTGCGACTGCGACCCCTTGAGATATCTTGCAAGCGGCATAAGCAAACCGCTCCTCATGGCCATTTCTTCCTAGGAAATGAACATGCCTCCCAATACGCACTCTTTGTTGCACAACACCTACCCACTTCAAGGATGAATTGCCCTCTTGGCCTGAAATCTTGATAATGTTTGCCTTCCTTAAACATTCTCAAAGTGAGGCATCCCAAGTGGCATACCTTTGCTTTTCGAGGACGCCTCCATTTTCTACTCAGAAGACTTCGAGTCGGCAAGGCAAGATCAATGTCCCCAATTTGAGCATCATCCACCATACATCCTCAAAAGTCCTACACGGTGGGACCCTTCTTCGGAACAACCGAACGCAGAATCGATAGTTTTAGAAACCAGGCCCCCATCCACAAAACTTGTTACTGTCTCTACCTCAAGAAACTCTGCATGACCCGAAACAATCCCTTCAACGAACCTTGGAAACGAGACAAGGGGGTTTCCCAAAATCAGGAGGGGGGTCCCCACAATAAGGATTATTGTATTTGGACATTTTGGGAAAGTACCACCTCTAGGTCCCTAGGTGGGGCCTCCTGCAGGTCGCGGGGCAACGGCGCCTGAGCGGTAAAGGAGTGCCCAGCGATATCCTGCAAAGAGACCTGAGCGGTGGAATAATGGGATTGCTATATGAGCCATAGTCTAAACTCCTAGTATCCCCCTTTAATACCCCCTATAATAGTCCCCTACATAATCCCGTACATAACCCCCTTTAGGGAGTTTAGACTATTGCTTATCTGTTTGAATTGAAACACTGAAGGCTTCATGTTGCAGGTCATCAGGGATCCTGTGGAAGATTGCATCTTTCTCCATGCTGGCGATTCTATGACTGGATGTCGCCAGCATCCAAAGCGAAACCGGGATCAGGCAGAGAATCTCGCAATCTTATGCAATAGGTTCGGGTGCGAAGGAACAACAATTTTTGAGGGATGAGCACTCAACAAATTCAAGATAAGGAGAAAGGCGGAGGGGGGGGGGCTAAAAGAGCATGAAGAGGTAAGGAAACCCGTAAAGAGACGAGGGAGGCCTTGTTCAACGCTCACAACAAGCTGAAAATACAATGAAGCTGATTTGTGGTGGCTTTCTGCTGCCAAGCGCACCTGGCGGCAGTGCAAGAACAGCCGGGAGCACCAGGAGGGGTCGAAGCCTCCAATTGCAATCCGCGTTGAGCGGTTTAGGGCCTCGGGGCATTCGGTTTGGAGAGCAGTTTGATGCAATTCCCCGCAGTCTGTCTTGCCAGCAGGTGATGTGGGTTTTTCACAAACATCTCCTGTTCAAACTGCGCGGCTCGCACAAAACAGGGCCGAAGTCTGTGCAACAACACAGCCTATGCCGTTGTTGCATGGCTACACATCTTTGACATATTTATCATGTGGGTTCCCAGACGTAGCTTCGTGTGTGCAAGTCTATTCAGCAGTAACTTCTTTGGCTTGAAACCTTCCCTTCATCGGCTGAACAACTGTAATACAAATTTACGCCACCATCCCTGAGACAAGATCTTGACTGCCACCTTCGAACAGTACAGGCCCCATTGTAGAGGTGTATGGCATGCCGGGCCGCAATTTTTGGGAAATCCTACATGCAGCACTTGGGCTGCCACCTCCATAGGTGCGGTCACAAAGGATGGGGCGGCCAACGCCCGCAAGATGCGCACGGATTTGATGGGTTCGTCCCGTGTACCTCGGTGCAAAGTGCTCGGGCCAACGCTTTGAAAAACACTCCTCAAGGTCCTGCAAGGCCCTGCGGGTCACAGGACCTGCAGGGTCTACATCTTAGCACAAGCCTGGCGACGGCTTGGCTTTGATCAGCATCAAGGTCTGCAGAGGCAGTGGGAAGGTGCTCAGGACCTCGTACTCTGTCCGTGCCTCCGAAAAGCGCAGGCAATGTCAGGTTGAGAGCTACGAACCACTCCAAAAAAACGGTGCGCGGCACTCATTGCAACAATGTTCTTGCCATGTTTGAGCTCTCAGGGTATCAAGCACTACGGCTCCGGTGATGATCATCTTGGTTCTGTCGCAGTAGCTGTCTCTGCTATACATGCTTTCCTACATCGAAAATGTCTGCTGCAATAGTGGCTTCGAAGCTTTGGCCTCCTTGCCGGCAGGTGACCAAAGGCTCTTCATAGCCTGAATGAAGGTCAGAGACTGCTGCATAGCACTATCTTGCCAAAATGAAGATTGACGCCACTTTTACATGCGATTTTTTTGCGGCGGACTTCAGTTGATTTGCATATTTGAGGATGGTTTGGGTTCGAGCTTGAAAGCTTGACCTTTCACACAGGCTTGATCTTCGCCATCGCCTGCATACTCAATCGAACCCTGAACAGGATGACGTCCCCGCACTAGTCCGAATGTGCCAACAGCACACTGATTTGTTGCTTCGGCATGCTTTGGCTGCCGACCAGTCGCAGACTTCTCTGTTGATGGGCCGCTCAGTAACGGAGCCACCTTACAATCAACAAGTAAAGACCACGGTCGCTGCATGGGAACTCATCAGAATTCTCAACCTCATCACCGTGATCCCTCCCAACATGGCAAAGCTGCATACCAACCTCAATTCGATTCCGCACGGCCTCGCCGAGGCACAATGATGCCCTGCATACCTTCGGCTAGCGGCTTGCCCGAGCAAACAAGAAGATACTCCTTGGTGACCTTGGATGTGCGGACTCTGGGGGCATGATTGCTTTTGTAAACTCAATCAGTCTGTCATACGTCCGTGGACAGGTAACAGCTGGCACGCGGAGTAACACGTCAGGATTCTGTACAAGTCTGCTTATTTTAGCGGTCTCAACGGATTGGAACGATTTGTCGGAACGATTTGTCCTTAACATCTAGTCGCCTCCCCACTCTTCTCTCGTACGTTCAGCTACAAGTGCAAAAGGAAGATGCTATTGCAAATGAAACTGTTGAGACTTACTGTAATGCCCAAACCTCCAGTATGTGCTTAATCGCAGAAACGTGTCCATGCTAGCAATTTACCAATCTCTGTGGGCAACTTCTTGTGATTCTTGTGCATATCCACAACTGGAACCATGAAACTGAGACCAAAGGCTTCCTAAAAGTCTCAGCTCAGCCACATTTCGTGCAGCAAACTGCAGCTGGTACCAATTGGACACTCCTCAACTGGCCAGCTCTTGGGCTTACATGTTGGGCCTGCTACAGCTCCGTCTCATTGCTGCTCGCAAACCTAGGCCTGTCCGAAACCTGCCTGTCTAGCTGTTTGCCTGCCCTGGATCGAGCTAGCCGCTAGCCCCTAAATCCTGACTCAAAAAGCGGCCAGCTCTCCAACACTCTTTTGCGACGGTGCGTGCTGATCCTGCTAAAGCCCCTGTCCCTGTGGACCCTGACATGTTCCTTCCCCACCTGAGCCGCGTGGGGCCACGGCCACCGGAAGGACGCCTGAGGTCTGCGCATCCAGGCGAGAGAGCCTGCAGAAAGACATTTTGCTCAAAGTCAACAGGCCCATCTAGCAAACCAGGTCACTCGTGACTGCTCATGTTTTCAGGGACACTTGAATCATGTCGTGGACGGTCTGGCCTTTTTTACGTAGCGACGTAGCTGCTCAAAGGCAAGTTGTGGCTTCCAGTGAGTGCCGCTTTCGGAATTCTTTGGATGAATAGCGATGCTGTCAGAATAAAGCCTGAGAATTGCGCAGAACGCTTGGTTCATCTACGGCAATGAGTAGGAAACAGCCGAAGCAGTTGGTACGAGTAGCCTCTGATTCGATTCCAGCAGCCTGTGCTCTACCTTCAGCATGGGCATCTTATAATCCCAGTTTCCATTTCATTTTCCATTTTCTTTTCCATTTGAGTCTCCATCATAGGGATAGAATAACCCCAATAAAGATTACCAGGGCCATCTTGAATGAGCAGTTTATCTCACAAAAGCAGCAGAAAAACCACTATAGTAGATTCCATTTTCTTTTCCATTATCCCAATATAACCCGTCTATAACCCCAATATACTATAGTTGCTTCCATTTTCTTTTCCATTATCCCAATATAACCACTCTATAACCCCAATATACTATAGTTGCTTCCCTCTTCTTTTCCATTATCCCAACATAACCCCTCTATAATAGACTCTATAACCCCAATATACTATAGTTGTTTCGATTTTCTTTTCCATTANNTTCCATTATCCCAATATAACTACTAAGTGGTTATTCTGACTGAAAGATGTCTTGCCTTTCTCAGACGCATGCTGTGCATGTGCCAGCCACTGGCCTCATGACCTCAACGTTGAAGCCTTGCTGCGCCAGCCACCTGCAAAGGCGCAAGCCTCCACTCCCAACCACCCCAAACGCCAAGACGATTTCGTGGCTGTGGCGCCTCAGAGCTAGGTCTAAATCCAGATCATTGGAAGCCCGACCGCGGTGCAAGCCCCAAGCCTCGAAACAAGCTGCATCACCTCAGTTGGATGGCTGCATGTATCATTTTGGCTCGAAATGACCAGACTTGCCCTCTTTGGAGGCTAGGAGTCTGAGGACAGCAACACCTTGCTTTCCCTTCTCATGCACCATCTATCACTCAATTTCACGCATCGGCAAGCACACGCGCTATAGGCTTGTAGGAGCACATCATGTCTGTTGGATTGCATTCCTCTCCCACCTGCTTGGCTCACAAAGTGGTTCGGGTTTGCTAGGTCAAGAGCATGTGGCATTCCACACTAGCATAGCTTGTGCATTGACCCCGCTCCCGCTCCGCTGCAACCCTGCGAAACGACAAATCCTAACTATGCGAAGACCTCCGTGCAGCAGAGTCTCAGCCTCCGAGGTCAGCCTTAGATGTCACAACCTTGTGGCCTTTGTGGCGGCAAGCTCTACAATTATGACCACTACTAGTGCCAGTCTGGGATTGAAATCCGAGTAGCCCTGCTGGCTTCTTCACCGCCAGCAATCCTGGGGCGCTTCCTGCACTGCCCACGCCTGAGGGTCCACAATCAACAACAATCTCTGCGCACGGCCGTTCTTTCGCGCACGAAGCGTGTCTAGTGACCTCGGACCACCACCACCACCACCA